GCTGAGCTCAGGTGATCCTTTCACCTCAGCCTTCCAAGTAACTGGAACTACAGGTGTGCACCACCGTGTCGGGGTAAGTTTTTGGTTTATTGTAGAGAGAAGGTCTTGCCAAGTGTCCCAGTCTGGCCTCGAGCCCCTGGGCTCAGGCAATCCTCTTGCCTCTACCTCCCAAAGTGCCAGGATGACAGGTATGAGCCACTGTGCCCTGCTGAGGTCAGGGTTTCAGTGACAGGGTTTTGACATCTCGCCAGTAGGGAGGTTACTTTAAACAGGCTGCTTCTAGTCCCCGAGATTTACCCCAGGTCCAAGTCGAAGCCCTCTGCCCTGATCCTTACCCCCTCTCCAAAACACATCCCGGAGGGGAGGTGTGCCTATTAAGGAGGCCAAAAGATGAAATGCAGTATATTTCATACCTTGTTTTAGGGGCTAAAAACAACTCAGTGGAAGTAAATAATTTTTTTAAAAGAAGTAATTAATTTTTTTTCTTTTGTAGAGACAGGGTCTTGCTATGTTTCTCAGGCTGGTCTCGAACTCCTGGACTCAAGTGTTCCTCCTGCCTTGACCTGGGAAACAGAGCAAGACCTCATGTCTAAAAAAAGAAAAAAGTTAAAAAAATTAGCCATGTGTGGTGGCATGTCCCAGCTACTCAGGTGGCTGAGGTGAGAGGATCGGCTGAGCCTAGAAGTTTGAGGCTGCAGTGAGCTGTGATCATGCCACTACACTTCATTCTGGGCAACAGAGTGAGACCTTGATTAGGGGGGGAAAAAAAAAAGCCAGACTCGATGGCTCACCTGTAATCCCGCGTCTTTGGGAGGCTGAGGTGAGTAGATTGCCTGAACCCGTGGGTTCGAGACCCGCCTGGGCAGTGAGACCTCATCTCTACAATAAAAAAATCAAAAAATCAGCTGGGCTTGGTAGCGCATGCCTGTAATTCCGGCTACTTGGAAGGCTGAGGCGGAAGTTTCGCCGGAGCCCAGCAGGTCGAGGCTGCGGTGGCCGGGAGCGGCCACTGCACTCCAGTCTGGGT